CAACTCCGCGGAGGACACGACTGTCCACCCAAAGTGTGGAGAGACTGACGTTTGTGAAAATGAATCAGGCGTGGATTAGTCTGGATTTCAAACCACCAGTTCCTGACACAACTGACTAAATCCGCCATGAATCATGCCCCAAACATGTGCCACTTTCAGGTCTCCTCACACTGCTGGTGTGTTCCATTTTTTGTCATAGGGTGCTGGCAGATTACGGGCCTCCCATAGCTGCTGCCAGGCCCCTAATCTGCCATGGGCCCCTATACCGCCTCCTCATGCTGCTGCCAAGTCCAGAGTCTCTCATGGGTCCCTGTACAGCCTCCCATTGCTGCTGTCTCCATCGCCACACTCTGCCATGTGCCACTTTCAGGTCTCCTCACACTGCTGGTGTATTCCATTTTTTGTCATAGGGTGCTGGCAGATTACGGGCCTCCCATAGCTGCTGCCAGGCCCCTAATCTGCCATGGGCCCCTATACCGCCTCCTCATGCTGCTGCCAGGTCCAGAGTCTCTCATGGGTCCCTGTACGGCCTCCCATTGCTGCTGTCTCCATCGCCACACTCTGCCATGTGCCACTTTCAGGTCTCCTCACACTGCTGGTGGGTTCCATTTTTTGTCATAGGGTGCTGGCAGATTACGGGCCTCCCATAGCTGCTGCCAGGCCCCTAATCTGCCATGGGCCCCCGTACCGACTCCTCATGCTGCTGCCAGGCCCGTAATCTGTCATGGCCCCTGTTGTCGCTTGTTGGCATATTCCGCTCGTTCAGATGCTCCTTCTCCTGCTACTCCTCTTCACGGATTCCGTCAGCAGTCTTTCTTGGAATCCGTTTCCAAGAGACAACAGTTTGCGAGCACGCACCAGACGGTGCAGAAGCTGAACGTCCTCCTGTCCAAGTTGCTGCTGCCAGGCTCGTAATCTGTCATGCGCCCCTGTACCGCCTCCTCATGCTGCTGCCAGGTCCAGAGTGTGTCATGGGCCCCCGTACCGACTCCTCATGCTGCTGCCAGGCCCGTAATCTGTCATGGGCCCCCTGTACCCGCCTCCCCATGCTGCTGCCAGGTCCAGAGTGTGTCATGGGTCCCTGTACGGCCTCCCATTGCTGCTGCCAGGCCCGTAATCTGCCATGGGCCCCCGTACCGACTCCTCATGCTGCTGCCAGGCCCGTAATCTGTCATGGGCCCCTGTACCGCCTCCTCATGCTGCTGCCAGGTCCAGAGTGTGTCATGGGTCCCTGTACGGCCTCCCATTGCTGCTGTCTCTATCGCCACACTCTGCCATGTGCCACTTTCAGGTCTCCTCACACTGCTGGTGGTTTCCATTTTTGTCATAGGGTGCTGTATGGCCTCCCATTGCTGCTGCCTCCACTGCCACACTGTGGCTCCACACTCTGGTTTTGGCCCCGTGACTGCCCAAATGAGTGAAGTGCGCGGTGATTCTAAGATCGACGACACTCATCTGCATGTCATACTGACTGACAGTATTATTTCTCTTCCCCAGCAGACTCCAAGGGCATTTAAATTAAAGGTACAGTGTTCAGCACTAATATTAAGTCTCTCTGAAGCCTAGAAACACCCTTTTTTAAGTTAAATTCACAGCAAATATATTCGACTCGAATCGAAATTTTTCCACGAATTCGCCGAATCAGTCGAATTGAATTTTTGAATACTTCGCTCATCTCTAGTCTTGACCGTGTGCATGGCATTATGAAATCTGAAGACTACCGAAGAATTCTGGGGTGCAATGTAGGGCCCGGTGGTGTCAGAAAGTTGGGTCTCCATCAGAGGTCATGGATCTTACAGCGGGACAATGACCCAAAGCACAGGTCAAAAAGCACCCAGAAATGGTATAAAGTAATAGTAAACTGCAGCTTAAATAACAAAAATCTCCAGCAAAGTAATGTCATAATGTTTTAGAATGCATCACATACTAGCACATTATGAAGGACTTACCTTAAAACGAAGCCCTCTAGCAGCACGCTGTCACCACTGCAGAGGCTTCTATCTTCACCCGGTCTTCCTTCCGGGTTAGCAAGCTCTGGCTATCTAATTGGCTGAGCTGCGATGATGTCTCTGCTACACATGCGCATGGGAGTCAAGGGCTACGGCACAGTGGTCGGAAGGAACGGCACGGTTATGCTGCATGCACCAGTTCTCAAAATGAGCAAATATCTCCTAATCTGTGCATGTTTATTCATTTTACTTATAAAAAAGGTTACCTGTAGGTAAAAGTATTAAAAAAAAGTTTACTACCACTTTAAGACAAAGGCACTGGTGAGGACTGAACTGGCCAGCAATGAGTCCAGATCTCAATTCTGTAGAGCACCTGTGGAGAGATGTCAAAGCAACAGTTGGGAAAAGGAACCCTTCTAATTTGAGAGACCTGGAGCAGTTGGCAAAAGAAGAGTGCTCCAAAATTCCAGTAGAGAGGTGTACGAAACTCATTGATAGTTACAGGACTTTTTTCCAAGGGGTGTGCTACCAAATATTAAATTGAGGTTGCCAATAATTTTGTCCAGTCCGTTTTTGGAGATAGATAAATAGACAGACAGACAGACAGACAGACAGACAGATCGCACAGTCCCTCCATCACTGAGCCCCTCCAATAACACAACCCCTCAACACAGATCATTCAAATTGCACAGTCCCCCCATCTCTGAGCCCCCCCAATCACACAGCCCCTTTTCACAGATCCCCATCACACAGCCCCCATCACTAAGCCTCCCAATCACACAGCCCACTATCACAGATACCCCCAATCACACAGTTCCCCATCACAGATCCCCCCAATCACACAGTCCCCCCATCACTGAGCCCCCTCCAATTGCAACATCCCCCCATCACAGAGTCACCATTCACAGTGCCCCCTCAATTACACAGTCCCCCTATCACTGGGACCCCCAATCAAATGTTCTCCCCTTCACAGATCCCCCAATCTCACTTCCTCCCATTACAGATTTCTCCAATCACACAGTCCCTCATCCCTGAACTCCCAATCAAACAGCCCTCATCACAGATCCCCTCAATCACTCAGCCCCCATCACAGATACCCAATCACACAATCCCCCCATCACTGAGCCCCAACCCATCACACAGTCCCCCCATCACTGAAACCTCCCATCACATATTACTCCAGTCATACAGTCCCTCATCAGTTCCTCCTCGCAGATCCACCAATTATACAGTTCCCCATCACAGAGGGGAAGGGGAGGCTATCTATCTATCTATCTATCTATCTATCTCTATATATCTATCTATCTATCCATCACAGATGCCTTCATACAGTTCCCCATTACTAAACCCCACAATCACACAGTCCCCCCATCACAGATCCCTTCAATCACACAGTCCCCTTACCTTTTGGCTACAGCAGTATGGAAGATGGCTGGAGATGGAAGAGGTCTGGTTAGAGGGGGACTTCTGTCTTCTCCTGAATGCTGGGGATGACTCTGTATGCACCTGTCCCAGGTCAAAGTTATACAGTGCCATGGTGCAGGCAATTTGACTACCACCACCATACCACATGCATACTGGACCTAGAGCATCACTGGTTGTCTGGGTGCTAGCAGCCGGCCTGCCTTCACCATTGCAACTCATAATGCATACTGGATCCAATGTTCACGCTACCCCAGGGGAAATCAGAAAGATGCGACAGGGTTGAGAAACACTGCTCTAGTTACATCACTTACCGAAAACACTTTGTTTCTTTTTTTAATTCAATTATATGTGCCCCCAGGTGGGTCATGCCATAATGTGCTAGTATGCACCGCATACTTACCTGTTATAAAGTGCCATCCAACGCCATGCTGTCACCAATCTTATGGGTCCAGACGCTTCCATCTTCATCTGGTCTTCCGTGTTTTGGCTGTTCGGCCACATGAATGGCCAGGCCATGATTATATCACTCCTGCTCATGTGGGAATCACATCACCACAACACACAGCGTGGGCCATATATGTACAATGAGCTGCACGGCTCAGCGTACATTGCAGTTGACAAGCAGGGGAAAGCATTATGACAGACGAGACTGATAGGGTCTCTTTTGTCATAAAAACCTTGCCTGTCAGCAAGTTTTTAAAAAGTGGGTTTGATACCACTTTAGGTTAAAGAGGATCTTCGCCCTGGAAGAAAAATAATTAATAGTCAGCAACTGCAAATACTGTAGCTGCTGACTTTTATCAAAAAGAGAAAAAATATACTGCAGAAACAATCGGCATAGAGAACAGCCCCCCCCCAAACCCTATATTGGGGTGAGTCTAACTAGGAAAAAGTTACATTAATATAGCAGTTCAGCAGTCTATTATGTAACCTCTTTCTGCTGGCCAGCCCATTTGGGTCCAACTCTGATGTTGAATCACTCAAGATAATATTCCTTCAAGCACTAATAAAGGCACTGGCTCAGTGGTAAGTTAAGCCAGCGCTATTCCTTTTTGTCAAAGTGTTATGGGGTTTGGCCAGTGGCCTCTCACTGACTCCTGTGGTAGCAGGTGATCTCCTTCTATCTCCTGTTGGCAGCACAACCAGTCAGTGGACACAATGTCTTTGCCCTCATCCAGGCAGTGGGCCCTTGTCAGCATTCCTGGCGCTCTCCACCGTCCCAGAATGTCTTCCACTATACCCCTCTCCCAATGAGGTGATGAGTGGTTTGCTGGCAGCCTGAAGCACACGCACTCCCTCTGAAAGTCCTCCACACTCTTTCTCGTCTGCCCAGGAAAAAAAAACAACCACCTCCTCCTCTGAGTCCCAGTGCCCCTTGGGAACTGTAGTTTCTCCTCTGTTTCCCAGGACTGATCATTCTGTAGGGAACTACATCTCCCACAGTCCTCCATTCCTTCCAATGTTTCCAGCAGTCTACATCCTCAGTGTGCTTCTATTGGATAGAGTGTAGGCATAACACTGACTGCTCTCTGTAATTGCAGTTAGCTAGTCTGCAACTAGGTCCACGTAGCTGTTCCTCTACTGCCAGAGCTGAAAACTACAATTAATAGAAATATGTTTCAGGTTGGCAAACCACTAATGCTAACCCAGCAACACGGATTGCACAGCTGGATTTATCAGCATGTCAGTGCATAGGATTTCTAAGTAATTGTTTGTCTCTAATCAACAGATTGCAAAAGATAGCAGGACAAAGCCCAAAACATTCTTCAAATATATTAATAGTAAAAAGGTTCGGTCTGAGCATGTAGGTCCTTTACAAAATAATCTAGAGTGGGTGACTGGGGACAAAGAGAAGGCAAATTTATTAAATCCCTTCTTCAGCTCTGTGTATACAAGGAGCATGGGGGAGTTCTATTCCATAATGGGCATGGTATTGACACATCTCCAGATGATCCACATTGGCTCACAACTGATATGGTCCGGAAATATTTAGACAGAATAAAAGGTGAATAAAGCACCTGGACCGGATGGCATACACCTACAGGGCCTTAAAGACTTGAGCTCTGTCATTTCAAAGCCATTGTTTCTAATTGTTAGGGACTCTTTAATGACTGGCATAGTACCTCTGGATTGGAGTAAGGCCAATGTGGTACCTATGTTAAAAAGGGATCAAAATCTTTACCAAGTAATTCTAGGCCTGTTAGTTTAACTTCTTAGTTGGGAAGACACTGGAGAGTTTAATGAAAGACCACATAGATGAGTTCTTGCTGGAAAAAAATATTTTAAGCAACAGACAGCATGGATTCATGAAAGACAGGAGTTGTCAAACAAATCTGATTTCTTTTTAAGAGGAGGTGAGCAAAACCTTGGACAGAGGGGTTGTGGTGGACGTGTTAGATTTAGACAGAGGGGTGGTGGTGGACGTTGTAGCAATCATACGTACAGAGATGGACGCGGTCATCCATCTTGCTCAAGACCCTCCATCTTGTATCTCTCTCTCCCTCCAATCACCCTCCTCAGGAATGTGGTCTGTGTGTGTATGCTGAGTTCAAAAGGCATCAGGCCCCAGCTGGAGAGCTTCATGGTTATAAACCCAAATTAGCTGGTGCCCGGGTGTCTGTTAGCTTCTGAATCTGAGATAATCGTAAAACCATAAACCAGTCCTTCACTGGGCTTCAAAGACATTGCAGCTAGCCGTAAAACAGACCTCACATTTAAAACCCACTTTTCTACATAATTTTATATCTTAAAGTAGGAAATAATTACATAAACATAAAGCATATATTCGGATAGCTCAGTTTAATGCGAGTTGTCTGATATCTTACACCCCTTGTGGAAGTCTACAGGAGAGCAGAAAGCCATACAGATCTAGCTGGAATAGTAAATTATAGCATGTTTGATATCTAGATGTTCAGCAGATAATTCTGCATATTAAATCAACCCGTGGATAGAATGTTACATGTACCTAGGGAAGGTTATTGCCCTGGTGAGGGATTTTGGTTCAACCTGAGACCCCCGCCTACAACACCCCTCCCCAAATGAGGCGATCGGTTCTCTGCTTTAAGGAGAAACCCTGCTGAATTCCTAGAAAAAGGCTGTTATGCTTGGAGCAGTAAGTTGAGTTGGAGAATTTTCCTTTTTTAACATCGGAACCAACTTTGGGAGACAAGGCAC